TGTTATTGTTTTATTAAGATTTTTATAGTTTCTACTAATATAAATACAAATGTTTAGATGAATTGATGGATGTTTGTTTGAAGGTATCTCCAGAACGGCCGCGTCTAGAACGAACACGGTCTGGAAGAACACAAAGACTACTAATTTTTTTTTAATTCCGCACAGACGGAGTCGAGGACGATGGCTAATCCATATTTCTTCTGTCGTCCTTTGTAGCAATTTACATTCAATCTCATTATAGTGTGTTATTTAATATACTTTTTAATCTTATATGTTAGTCATTGTAATTATGAAAGTTGAAATCTTAATGAAGCAACCATTGAACAATCGATGACGATGTGTCGGACCAACAGATTAATTGGTTGTTTTGAGATGCGGCAACAAACAAACATCCCTTGTTTGTCGTCGGTATGCTGTTTACAAACGGGTGCAGCGGATACACTCGTCTTTTGATACAACTAGAATATTCTTTCACAAAATATATCGATCAAATTTTCCTATACATCAGAAACATGCATATGACTGACTGTGGCCCGCGACTCTGACTCTTTGAGCGGAATTATAAAAAACAATTAGTATCCTATTTGTTCTTCCAGACTATGTTCTATACGTACGCGAAATTTCATCGAAATCCATTCAGTCGTTCTGGATATATCTTTACACAAACATCCATCCATCCATCTAGATTTTTGCATTTATAATATTAGTAAAATACGTAAGAAGTAAGATAATATGTAACCCTACCTGAAACTCAGTTTTAGCTAGTTTAGGAGAGAGCTTTACCACTTATGTGATTTTTTTTTTGTTCAATAAAGATTTATTTTTTATTTTAGTCACTTTACGTTCATGAATCATGTAGTGTCATATAACAAAAATACATGGTCTTCTACATGTTGAAATAAATCTCTTGAAAGTTAATATTGCTAACTTACGAGAGCAGCATGATTAACTAAGCCCTAATGACCTCTAATTAAGGTTTAGTTTGAAACTTTCGGTGGAGAGTAATTTGAGCTGACGACACATATAAATTAAAAGTTATAGGATATTCTTACATTCGTAGTAATCATTTGAGACGTACAACCGAAGTGTCTTATCCTGTTTAGATAGTAGTACTGGGAACACATAAAATCTTATAACTACTTTTATGGACAACAAACAGAAAGGTCTTATATCACTTTAAGAAATGGTTATCAGAGATCTTGGTGAACGATCAAATTTTACGTGTTTGTCAAATTATTTGATAGTGGAGACTTATAACATATATTTGAAGTCATCAACTCCCCACTAATTCCCCACCGAGGGGCTCGGATTCTACCCTAAGTTAGGGGTGATTAGACCATAGTCAACCACGCTGGTCCAATGTGGGTTGGTTGACTATATTTGAAGTGCTTGATGTATATCTTGGGCAAATAAATTTGTCAAAAAATTTGACCGTTTATAATATTTCAAATACTTCTTTTGAACCTTACCTAATATCTTCTTATGATATGTAGATGATATTTATTATTTATGTGGTTAACTCATTTCTTATCCAATGGATCAATTTAAATTATCAAAGTAGGGCTAAAATAATGTATTATTTTTAGTAATAAAGGAGCTGTCAGAAATCGCCGTTTGGAGAATTCAAATCAATGAATGGAAAATGTAAACACGATTCTGATGCTCCAACGATGTTATGAAATGCAGTTATGTATTTTTATAACAATACGATTCATTTACCTTTAGGAGCAAGCTTGTGATCTTTTGATGTTACCAAATAATGTCCTTATATCTCACTCAACTTGATGTCATCCGTGTTAGTTTTAATGGCATTTTAACATACACAGCTTTTAAAGTTGAGAATGAAATTCATGTACCCTTATTGGTAGTCTAATATGGTCTATTATCGAAATAGATTGATTTATTATCTTAGTGTCCCTCGGAGCATACTTTAATTAGGCAAATTACTATTGATTATATTATTTGTTTTACATTACGTGGCAGTAAATGTCAATGTTCTAATTTGTTGCTAAAGACAATACAATTCTTTGTTCTTAGAAACTCTCGTCTTTGTAAATTTTGCTGCAGATATTGATAGAACCCTTGAAATATCGATTATTTAAGTTTAGTCACAGCTGTCCATTGTGCTGACAGGAGAGTTTAGATACAAATTTTTACGTTGACAGGAGATCTACAAACTGACCGTATTGTGTCCAAATTTCACATTTCCAATATTGATTTACCAACCTGTAAGTCGTCCAAGGCAAGCTGCAAAATGCCTCGGCCCAGCAAATGTTTGTGCGGCGGAGAGATAAGGGAGTGTACTCGCTCAAGCAGGCCAGGCAGCGCGCCAGAGTCGTGCGATACGCACCACTCCGCGAAATCCTCTAGGGTGGCGCGCTCCAGCTCCTGCTGCAGCCGCACGTACTCGCGCATCTGCCGATTTGCCGCTGCCACACGGCTCAGCAGGTCTGCCAGCTCGTGCAGCCGTAGCTCCAGCCGAGCGCCCCGCCCGCCGGCCTTTGCTAGGAACATCGCCACTGAGCCCAGTTTCTCTATCCTGAGCTCAAGCCTCTCTATCGTCCTCGTCACCTGCGCCAACCTTGCCAGCACTTCCCGCTCCCGCCGCCTGATGAGCGGCAGTTCTACACCTCCGGACACATTGAACGGCCTTCCTATGACGTCCCAGGAGTTGAGCACTTCCTCGCCGATCTCTTTGCCGAGGCGGATAACGTCGAGCGCATCGTCGATGACAGCGTGCGCGGCAACGGCTAGCACAAGCAGCGCCAGCGCGCAGTGCACGCGGCGGGCGGACATGACGGACCGGCACGCACTGGCGCGCGCCACGCCGCCCCGCTGGGTGACCACTGTCGCACCTAACGATTTGCCCACACCGACTGTTAAATTGGGAAATTTACCAACTTAACGAAAACATTCACTATGAAAAGAACGGTGATCGAAAATATTTATTGAATGTATAGACGTCACTGTGTCACTTTCACAACTGAACTAACGTTAATTATATTTGCTTGCTTTGGCGCAGAGAATATTCCGTTACAAAACCTTCATCCCCGCCACACGGACCGGTTTAGCCGCTTTGCGTGTGTACAATTACTGCTCAACGTTTGCGAATAACGCCTCCGTATTTAATACTAATTAACTTCACATAACAAAGCAGATAAATACAAGTTTCAATGAAATAAGAATAACAATGAAATAAATATCATTCGTTATTTTTACCAAAATATTCCTCCTAATATTGTAGATATTAATTGGGTTTCAATAAGTTAAGAAATGCAATCATTTTATCAAAACTGTAATAAATGTGGGAAGTGGATCGCAACTAGCAACACCAAGCCTCACTGTTCCCCTATTTATAAAGCTAAGCTTTTTGTTACTTTCGCTTTTGATGTGTTGTCTGTCTGTTCATTATTTTGGTATCTTTGATTTTTTAAACTGCAATCCGCAATTATCGAAAATATGCACTATTACTATTAATTATACTATTTTTTCACACATGCTTTAAATGTCGCATTAAATCATCACTCATATGCTCTTTCAAAATTGTGTGCCAACAGGTTTCACGTCAGTGAAAACACGCAGAAATTGTATTCTAAAGTTATGTTACAAGACGATAAATTGAATCCAAAACTTCCTGAACGATGTTCTTTATAACACTATTTTTATATCTGTCGTAAAAACCTTTAAATATTTTCCGATACTATTTCCATACCAGACTAGTTTTTGTAAAGGGTCGTAATTCTTTTAGTGGTATATGACCGCAATAAATTGATTTTATATCATCTGCACGTGTAATTTGAACTCTCGACATAAGATTTGTCTGAGTAATTTTAAAATAAATAGGAAAGTTAGGATTAACGTTTCAAATTCTTCTTTCAAATGACTATCTTACTTACTTTATTTCAAAAACAACGCTATTTACAATCAGGAATCAATGTTACGATACTGAAGACATGTTAAAAGGATCAGGAATTTATCAGTGAGATATTGCTTGTTACTATTTGTGTTTCGCTTGTTTTTGCGCATAATGACTCAACTCTCCTGTTTTTCTTATCGTTTAGGAATGTAACATGTGGATCATTTTTTGTTACAATGTTGTCTTGCCCTACACCAAGACACCTAACGACAAAGAAGCCTTTTGTTCTAAGTTCTACGAATTTATAAGTTTACTGGTGTAAGTTATATAATATGATGATGATGATGAGTAGATATTAAACCATTGGCGGTTCAATTGTAGTTTTTAATCTTGCAAAAATATTAATGGATATCTTTCTTTTTTTATATCATATGGTGGCAAACGAGCGAGTAGCCACCTGAAATCGCTGAAATAGTGAAGTGACCGTTGCCCATAGACATACGCAATTGCATATGCGTTGCGTTGCCTACCTTTGATCCATGGAGGAGAGGATGCACAGAAAGAAAATATTTTCCCTTTCCATGCATCCTCTTATCCGGAAAGTCCACATCCACTTCCCATCCTTTCCCTGTAAGAAAAACGGTAGTAAGGGAAAGAGGACTAAATTTGGCCTCCGGGACGCACACTCATTAGACGAAACGCAGAATTGCTTCCACTTCACGCCTATCTTCTGTGTGGTCGTGGTATTTCACCGGGCGAACCGGGCCAATTCGTGCGAAGATGTTAAAGCGAGCTCTACCACTATAAGAGCTAAAGAGAGTTAAATCTGTGAGCTTCGTTATTCATTGTATTGTCTACTGACTTTATTACTAGACGACTATTATTGTTAAATCTAGCATAGCTGTTGCCCGCGATTCCGTCTGTCTGGAATTAAAAAAAATCTTAAGTAGTAGCCTATGTGTTCCTCTGGATTATGTTCTACGTCTGTGCCAAATTTTAGCGAGATCTATGTAGCCGTTCTGGTGATACCTCTAAACAAACATTGGTCGTTAAAAATTAATTACAGGATTCAAAAGAAACCATATAATATTGTTTTAGGTTACTAAGAGTACAACGTTTTTAAATAATGTGTGTTGTCTTACAGAGTCTTTTCTACGAGATCCTGGCTGGGGTGTGGGTGCGCAACGGGCTTCAGATCAAAGGTCAAGCGATGACGTACATTCAGGCAAACTTCTGCAACTCCATGGTAGATATGGATATCTACTGGCTACAGATCTGCGCAGCTCATCTGCCAGCTGATCAGTTCCTGGATATGTGTATTGATATGTAAGTGGGTAATGTGGATAGATTTTTTCCTCTTGACGCGCCTCTCCGACTAACGAAGGTTGACGATTATTTCTCCATATTTTCCATTGTCTCTTGCGAGGCGAAACAGATGGACAGTTTTAAAAGATGAAAACTTTCTTTTATAGTATACGTCGTTTTGTTGACGTCTGGCAAAAAAGTTCTTTTGTTATTAATATGACAAAAAAAATTGGAGAAATATGTCAAAGTGATTTGCATAAGTGAAGGTCCATACCGTGTAACATGTGCATCTTTTCATCCTGTTACTATTTTTTTTAAATATAATAAACGTCCGTGTACATAGGTTTGGCGTGCGTGAGTGGCTCAGTATGACGCCGTTGTCGCCGGCACAAGCGGCCGAGCAAGATGCCATGCTGGAAGGCCTGCTCACCTTCCTTGCTATACTCGTCTCTTCCAGAACTAACCTAGGTAATCATATACGTTCTTTTAGAAACACAGGATTATGTTATTTTGTGCTTGTTTGATTTTTTTTTTGTGGTGACTGCACAGGTAACGACGAGCTGACGCAGTCCCGGCTGGAGGTGAGCACTCTGCTGGCGGCGGGAGACAAGACGCACTCGCAGCTGCTGGAGCTGATGCCGGAGCGCTCCGGCAACGCGCATACCAGAAACTTTGAGAGCGTACTCAAAGAGGTGAGCATATTAGGAGAATAGTTTACAGTAGGAATTTGCAATGACAGTGATGTTTCCAATATCGCTTTGAGATTTGAACAAAAAAAGGTTTATTATTGAAATTTTTGAAAGGTTTTTATGCATGCTATTAGCTATCGCTAACGACTCCGTCCATTTGTGTTTGAAAAAATGCTTAATTAACCTATGCGAACCCGCGATTCGATCAGCCGTTTTGGACGAATTATACTCACTCAATTTTCTAAAAATTCGGAAATGTAGTTAAATTATGTTTACTGTGATGTGATGTTTTCAGTTGTCTACGTACCGTCCTCCTCCAAAGGGGTCAGAGAACCTGGAGCAGGGTCTGTTCGTGCCGAAGCCGGTTGTGTGGGAGCAGCACTACGACCCGCTGCACGTGCTGCGCCGCGCCGTGCACCGCAGGGACTTCCACTCCTCCATGGACAGATTCACCGCATAGTGAGATAATACTTTCTAATTGGTTAACTTAAGTTACTCTAGCATATATCAGCTATCTTTCTGTAAAATTCTCGTCAAAATCGGTCCAGTCGTTTCGGAGATTATTCTGCACAAACTTGACGATACAGATAAAAAAATGGCTTGTCCTTTTAAGCAACGCAAATATGATTTTTTTCTTCTTTCGATATTGCATACAGATAATTCAATTTTATTATTTGTCTTGATATAAATAAATACAGTAAAATAGATTTGCCTTTTTTAAGTTTGAGTACAGTTTGACAAAATCAGTATTTTATGTAAACTCTTCGCAGTGTACGCGAGAAGCAGAAGGCGGAGGGAGGTGTGAGTGGTGCGGCGAGCAGCCCCAGCAGTGCGGGCAGCGCGGCCAGCACGGCGGGGACCAGCTCGGCCAGCGGTACCGGCACGCTGTGGCCGCCGCTACGACCTGCGCAGGCGCCGCCCGCAGCCGCCGGCGATCCCAGGCTCATCTGTCTCTCTGGTAACATTATTATAAAGGCTAACTATTGTTTGCGAGTTTGTCAGCAGATTTGAAAAGAAGTAGCTTATAGAATGCCCGCGGGCATTAACTACCTTCCAGTTAAAACCGCTCCGGAGTTATCCCAGAACAAACGTGGCCTTGCAGACATACACAAAAATTTTGAAATTCGTTTTTTATTATCAACAATGCAAATCGCCTATATAAAATATGAATTTTATTTCAAGATATTACACACGGACGCTTCTATTTTATTAATATGCATATATTCACATGATACAGATCTTTTTTTATTTGTTTTGTGTGTTTACTGTTTTAATAGTTTGGTGTTGTTGTTGTTATGTGGGTGCAGGCGTGCTGCACGGCGCGCTGCTGGCGGTGCTGCACCGCGGCGTGCGGCGGCGGGACGGGGCG